CTCTTCCGAGGTATGTTTACACGATAACACGTAGCAAACACGAGATATTTACAGCAATTAAATCATTTATGTCTTATATAATTATATTGTACTTTTAATTTTATTATATAGGAGGAATATCGTTCAGCGGTACAGCGTTCGATTGTTGGACGCAAGCTGAGAATGCTCTAGAGAAGACTAAAAAACTAAGTGCTTTGATGGGGTGCCCTACAGCTACCTCTAGAGACATGATACGCTGCTTGAGATATCGACCAGCTCGCACGATCGTACAAGCTACAAGCGAATTTATGGTGAGTTTTGTTTCATAATTTTGAAAGAGAAACAACGCGATTCTCTTTCAACATAGTAAGAAGAAAATTTTGATATCCGTCCTACGTTTTTAGCCGTTCTTGTACAATCCCTTTACTCCTTTCGGGCCGGTATCCGAGAAAGTCGGCGATGATGCACCCTTCATCGACAGAACACCAGTTGAAATCGTGAATAGCGGTGACGTGCACGACGTACCTTGGATTACGGGAGTAACAAGCGAAGAGGGCCTCTATCCTGTGGCCGGTAAAGATAACATGCGAGATCATTAGCAAAATGTTTTCAAAGATGTATAGACTTTTATCAATATTAATTTATTATTGTAGAATTCATCGCTGATAATGAAAATCTAAAACAACTGAACTACAACTGGGATCTCCTCAGTCCGTATTTCCTAGATTTTAACTACACCATCCCCAAAGAAAAGCAGGTCGAGATTGCTCGTCTCATCAAGAAGCATTATATCGGTACAAAACCAATAGACCGAACAACTACAAGACAACTAGTACAAATGGCGGGTGATCGCTTCTTTGTGGTCGATAGCGAGAAGGCTGCACGAATGCAAGCTAAAGTAAATCAGAATCCAGTTTGGTATTATTATTTCACATACAGAGGAAAGCAAAGTTTAAGCGATTCCATGAGTGGTACCACTGAAGATTACGGTGAGTCTGTCATGAAAATTATTGTTTAGGAAATTCGCAAAAAGGAAGATATATTTACAATTCAAAAAAGAAGAGTTTTATAAATGTATTATTTTATGTTTTTTATTTAGGGGTCTCCCATGCCGATGACGTACTGTATGTATTAGATACTCCCTGGATGGATCCAACAAAAACGCAACAGGATCGCGATATGCAGAAACACTTAATCGACTTTTGGGTATCTTTTGCCACAGACGGGTAAGTGTGAAATATCCGTATATCATGCACATATCAATCCTCATTGTTGACATATTTTCAGAATCGCAAAAATGGCCAATGTAGAATGGCCGAAACTAGATCCTTCAAAGAAGGAACTTCATTATCTGCATATTGCTGGTCCTACTAAGATTAGCATGGGCAGCAATGCTAATTTTGGGGAGAAAGAATTCTGGAATTCAATTAAATTCAAAGAGAACGTATTGACACCCACATTAAAAAATAGCAAAGAAGAGCTTTGAATTAATCATTTAAATTAATTTTTATTAAGAAATAATGCTACTTAATTTTGTATATAAATCCGAAATTTTTTTCAAAACATAACTTTTTTATTATTTTATTTTAAGCACGATATTCAACTAACACGAAAAATGTAACTTTAGAAATTACCACATCATTTACAATGTCACAGCTATTAAACCTACTGATTTTTGTAGTCTTTCTCTTAAACTGATATTCATTAGAATCGATACTTAATGTTCCAATCTGAAATTGTTTAACGAAATAAAATGCTTCATCGAAAACAATTGTAAGTAATCGTTTAAAAAAATGTAAAATATTAATAATTCAACAAACTGATAAGAAACTAGTAAGAGAACTTAGCAATTAAGATTTACAATTAATAATCTACTAAAATTACAAATTTACTATAAAACATAACCTATGATTTAAAGAAATTGTTATAATTTTTTTGATATTTAATTACATCATAATTTACGAAGTAATTGATGTTTAATCAACACCATTTTTAAAAAATTTTTTTTTTACATTGTTACATCATAAAATGCATTTAAATATATAATATATAATGTATGCTTATTAACCTGTATCAGCTTTTCCTCTTCGATAATATGTGGAATTCTCTGAGTAGGAGAAAAATGATCATCCTCATAGATTTGTGTGGCCGTGAATTCTATTGTTATCAGGAATTGTTTATCCCAGTAGTAAATATTTACTCACGATAAGAAAAGAGGAATATACGTCGAAATGATATTTACTAACGTAACGTGTCGCGTTGCTTATATTCAGTGTTGTTCGGCGTTCGGCCGCACTCGCTCCCATGTCTGCGTCTGCGCGGCGGCCGATCCGCGCAGCTATAGAAGCCGATCGCAGCCGAATAACGCCGAAGATAACCGACGCGACATTCATATTCTACTATATATATATATATATATTCTGGTGTCAATGTGTTCTACAGTTTTTGCTTTCTCTCTTCTCTCTCTCTCTCTCTCTTTCTTTCTCTTTCTCTCTAACGCCATTTCGGTGTTTTTCGTATGTCTATGCCTACCGATCGTTCGACTGCCGTTAATATTTATTTATATTAGAGGATATAATTATTTTTGTAGCCATGTAATCTATTTTTCGATAGTTCTGATTAAATCGCCGTTTGGTATTGGTTTTACGAGTATAGTTGAGTGAGATTGTCGACCTAACCTGACATAACCGTCAAAGTGAAAATCGAAGGCGAGTGTTGCTCTGGAAGTGACCGTGAAAGAAGTTTAATCATTTTCTGTCGTTGCTAACTTATCGTCTGACTCGTTATAATTGTCAAGAAAGCAGGATAAAATAATAAAAATAAGCACTGTTCGAGATACGAAAATGCCGCCGAAATGTAAATTTCAGGAAGGTAAAATCTCGATTTTTTTTACAGTGAATCTCTTATAGCGTTTAGTAAATTAATTTAAAAGAATAAGCATTCAATTTTTTTTTTGTGTTTCCATTGATAAGCCATTAATTTTACACATTAATTTTACATGGCTTTAACATTTTTAGGAGAAAAAGTTCTATGCTTTCATGGGCCATTGATCTATGAAGCAAAATGCTTGAAATCCTCCATTACTAAAGAGAAGCAAATCAAATATTTCATTCATTATGCAGGTTGGAATAAGAAGTAAGTAAGCTTTTTGTAAATAGATAAACTATGTTATTTGCCGATACAAAGCATGTGTATGACTTAATAGACTTAATATTCTTGTAAAAATAGCTGGGACGAATGGGTTCCGGAGAGCAGAGTACTCAAATACAACGAAGCAAATGTACAAAGACAAAGAGAAGTTCAGAGAGCACACTCGACTCAACAATCTGCACAAAAGAACAAAAAGGGAAATACAACAACTAAAGCACAGGGGAGAAGGAGCGAAGGGGGTAGAGAGAAAGATACAGACAGTAGAGCGAGCACTCCTGTTTCAACAGCTGACAAAAGTATAAGTCGTTTTAGCAAGGGTACTAATAGCACGGTGACAGCTTCATCCTCTCACGAGTCCACGTCGGAACCTACTCGGAAAAAACGGAGGTTTGTTATATAACTTATCTTATATCTTTGTGTTTGTATAATCATATATTATAGTTGATTGTAACAAACTGATCTCTTTCAGTCGATTAGAACCATCTAGTGAAACTGAAGAATATCTCACTAAAGTGGAGGTTAAGATAAAATTACCCGAAGAATTGAAGTTTGTGCTAATAGATGAATCTGAAGTAATATTAAAACACCATAAGCTACCTGCATTACCTGTACAAAATACAGTTGACAAAATTTTAGACGATTATGTAGAAATGAAATCATCTGGAAAAACCAATGATACTAGGTATGATGCAACTGAGAGTTTAAATAATATCACTATATGCTGTTATAATTAACGTTGCGTATATAAATATATGATAAACTTAATATCTTTCGTTTTAGGGAAAGTACTTTGGAAATAACAAAAGGTATTCGTGAATATTTTAATATCACATTAGGGCTTCAATTGCTATACAAATGGGAACGCCCGCAATTTATACAGATAACGAATGACAATCCGGAAACCTTGCCGAGTCAGTTGTATGGAGCGTTTCATTTACTTAGACTATTTGGTAAAAGCTGCATTTCATAAAGTCTTTATTGTCTCTTTTCTTATTATCGTAGATGATAATTTTAAGTCTTCTTTACAGTGAGACTCGGTGGTATGCTGTCATACACACCTTTAGATGAAAGGAGTATACAGCTGTTACTGTCACATTTTCATGACTTCTTACAATATTTGCAAAAGAATAATGCCGAACTCTTCAATCTTCAACAGGATTACACAGATCCACCACCAGATTATCATCGAAAATATGGTTAAACCATCAAAGTGCGTAAAATTATTTCTCAAGTTCATTTATATTTGGGGACAAATGTATTTTAATCTTGTGTAGAATATTATTTTATATAGGAATCACACACACATGTGTAACAATATTAATTGAATCTATTTATTGTGCAATTATACATAACTTTGTCATTTTAAGTAGCCTGCCATAATTTTACCTATATTAGCAAAAATATAAACACAAAATAGAGGTTTCAATGATTAAACGTCATTTATAAGAGAGATGAGGTATAATGCGGTACGCAACATTTAGATACATTAAACCACATTAAACCAAGTAAACCAAGTAAATCCAGTAAAATATATGTTATTGATTATTCACGAAATCATTATTCAATAATATATTGCATTCCCCCCATGGGAGAAATGTCATCTTGTAGATAAATTTTTACAGATCTTCCAAAGTTTCCTAATGGAAGCCAATTTTTGTCTAGGAACAGTTAGCGATATTTTTGTTCCTAGAAAACTGGTTGGATATTGAATGTTCATTTATAAATGTGTTCTATTTGACATAACAAGTTTCGAACCGTTTGATTAACCAATCAGAATAAAAGGAATAAAGATTTCCTTGCTCTGATTGGTCGATCACGTGCTTGGAACTTTCGCAGCATCAAACGGAGTGCACCCTCTATGTACGCATAGATCTCCCCGCGTCGATCTCATCTCCCACCCTGCGCACTTCCCATCCTGCGGCCTCGTCTCCTCGTCAAACCGGCAGTCGATAACAGCACGTATACCTGGACGCGTCGATGTTGGATCTCACGTTCGCGATGTTGCGGAGCAAATGCGCGCGCTAGGCAGACAGTACGAGCCAGTCCGCGAACATCGGGCCAGTCAGTCAGTGGCAGGAAAAAATGGCGGATGTCGACTTGAATATCGACAACTTGATACAGAGATTATTGGAAGGTACGTGATTTGCTTGCGACGGGGCGGCCGGTGCGAGAAACGCGGTCGATCCCGCGGCTTTCCCGCCGCAATTACCGCCGATCCACGACCGCGTGTATATTCGCGTCAACGACGAGGAGAATCCGCGCCGGATTCGGACGCGAGTCCGCGGATACACATAAGTTTTCCTCGAACGCGACGCGCTCGCGTTTCGCCGTGTGTGTATGTGTGTGCGAGCGCGCGCGCGCTTGTGTATATAAATACGTGTGTGTACACACGTTCGCTATCTCGCTCCACTCCGGTTCACGTCGCAAATTGTCCTTCGTCCGATCTGATCAGCTCTCTACGCAAGAGCGCGAGTCTCTCTCGACTGCGTCGCTACGCGACTTCCCTTCGGTCGATCGGATTAAAAAACGTAGGTGAGATATCGATCTCTACCCGTGTGCCCCGTCGTAGCTCTTATTGTCGCGGTCATCGCCGCCGCGATACATGAATCGCGTGAAAAGTTCAAGGGACCGTTCATCGTATCTCTCTCTTTCGTTTCGAGTTCCGCTATGTTTATTTTTGTCTTTTCATCTCTTTCTCTCTCTCTTCTTTTTTTTTCTATCTCTTTCTCTCTTCCATTTTCTATCTTTCTATTTCCATCTCGTTCACATTCGTTCTCTCACGTCAGTATACCTGTCAGTATATCTCCGTCTCTCTCACGATTTCAAGAAATCGTCCCCCCCCCCTCTCGTTTCCCCTCCGTGGCAACTTGCCACCGCATCACCCCCGCTTTACGCCACTGATCACCGCGCGATCACGATCTTTTATATATCCTCCTCATGTTCTCTTTAGGCGCAGAAAAAAAAACAACAAAATCTCTTTTTGTTTGTTCTCTCTCATGCTACGCGAATGCGGAACCCCCTTGTGCGGTAAAGTATACCACACGCAGAAAGACCAGGTTCTTCAGAAGAAAGCCAAGCTAAAAGATATTTTCTCGTCGGACTTCGTCGGTACGCAACTACTACAACAACAATAACCGTCATCACCGTCACCACCACCGTCCACAGCAAAACAACAGGAAACAGCAAAAACCTCTCCCCGTCCCCCACGTAGAGCTATACGTCCTGCGTTTGTTTAGTTTGCTTAGGGCTTGCCGACTCTTTTTCGTATAATTCCACTATCATCCTGTGACTGCGTTCGTCTTGACATTGTAGCTTGAACGTCAAGACGAATGCAGCTTAAATGGTGCAACATCTCTAAACGTTCTCAAATGTAACTGTCGCATTCGGCGTTAAAACGCGCATTTCATCGATTTGTCTTCTCTTTTGGTCTATATTTATGTTTCTGTTTAAGACGTCATACACACGTTTAAAGGACGTAGCGTCGCTAAAAGGGGCTGTCACGTTTCAAAAATTTAATCGAAAGATTGATCGAAATCTCTCGATGATGTAAAAACATTGACTAGTATAGTCATGTTTAGCGCTAAATGCGTCTTACGATATACGATTAGCCATCATTGTTCGTCGATCTCGCGCGCGCGCGTTTATTTGTCGACTCCTTTTTTTTTTTTTTTTGCTCACCAAAGCATCGCCGATCTTGCACGTTTTTTTTTAGCGATGTTATCCCCCACTGCTCGTTCTTAATCGTCGATCCTGTTAAACTTCTCTTATCGTTAAATTTAAAGTTACGATAATTACATATCTCCACTCATCTCTATTATTTCGGAATATGAGTATCTCCACAGATTTCTTTTTAAACGAATTTCAAATTATTTCTGGATTTCTGTCGATGCACTTCGCATTGACATTTTAGGGTTCATCGTTTTCTTTTCTCCGCCTTTCTTTTTTCTCACGCACGTAATCCTCTCGATTGAGATGCTTTAGCCACGTAAAACTCGAATGGTTGGCTGGAAATGTTAGTTTAAATGTTAGTTTAGAGCACGTTTTAGTATAATAGATGTGTATTTATGCGATCCGCGGCGTAATTCGTGCATACGTTTTGATTATACCTTCTTCCTATGCTTTTATTCAAGTATGAAACTTTTTTTTTTCCCGTCAAAATAATCGTAATTTTCAAAACAAAAAATTTTATTAAATTGATTGTGTTTTGAATTATTATTGTATGTAGATACGGATTTAATTAGATCAAATATTAAGTATCTTTAATTGAAAACGATATCTCTTATCAGCACACATAATTTATCATTATCTATAAAATGCATCTATTCTATATATTGCTTTTCGATATAATACAATTATATATCATTTAGATTAAAATATAATTTAACGGAAGTTCATATATTATATCACGTAATTTTAATGTTTGAATATTGAATTAATGCGCATTTGTGATTAAAAAAATACAAGAGATCTAT